GAAGTAAATGTGTAATTGTCTATGACAATTTTTCAAAAGGAAATGACTGTTTACTCTTAGAGATGAAAGCAGATATGACCTAAAAATATATTTTAATATTAGTTGTATTAAAATGATTTCTGTATCATGACAGAATTTGGGGAAGAAATGAGGTTTAGGACTATGAACACTGAGTGCCACTCAAATTCTCTAAATTGGAGAGAGATGGATTTGAAGAGTGGACTGTTAGATGGATAAGAAAGTTGTTGGATGGCTGCACCCAGAGAATAGTGATCAGTGGTTCAGAGTCCAAATGACATCAGTGACAAGTGGCGCTCCTCAGGGGTCTGTTTTGGGGTCAGTGTTACTTGATGTCTTCATTAATGTCCTAGACAAAGGCATTGAGAGTACCTTCAGCAACAGGATGTTAGGGCCTTCTGGTGGGTTTACTGCTGCTGTTCTCATGAATATTTAAGTACTTACATGAAGTAAGACATCTCCAAGAAGTGGGACCCAAATGTTACTCCTTATGTATGCAAAGTAGAAGAGCTGGGATTTGAATTAATTTTCAAAAATCCAAGGGAAGTACTTACACAGCAAAACTATTATCCATACTAATGGGCTTCTTTCTGTTCAGAAATTCAACCTTGGACAAATTGTTTAAGTAGTTTAAATTTTATTAAACTATATCCTTAAAAATTGACAACAGTAAGGTTCCCCAATGACTCAACTCATACTCAGTACTCAACTATTGGTCTGTTTTCATGCCTCCACTCCTTTCAGCAGACTCAGTGCCAGTTTTCTCTCTTCCAAAATGGCTGTGACATTTCTTGTCCTCTGTTCCCAGTGTTTTCTAACTTTTTCATTGCCCTTTTGAGCTTTTTGCCCTAAGCCTTCACAAACAAACTGTGCAATGCACCTGGAATCAAGGAAGAAAGTGCTGCATAATTATTAAGTTAAATATTGTCTCCTGACCCTTATAAAGAAACTTTTCATCTATTGCTTTTCCTGGTTATTTCCCAACCACTTGCTATTAAGATCTGGTTGAATACTGCATATTCAAACAACCAGTAACAAGTATTTGTAAATTTTTACAGGAAAACTCCCTGCCTTCCAAAGAAAAGCAGATGTAAATTCAATTCTCTTGGAAACTCTGATGGTGTGTGCCTCTCTTCACGGTCACTGCTGGCCATTTGTTGTCAGAGCCTCAACAAACTTTCAGAGAGTGGAGGTATTTTGTCTCCCACTGACTCAAGGCATTGGAGTTTCTAGATAATTCTGTCAAAGAATTGTCAGACACATTAATGTAATTTCTTTTGTTTAAAACCTGATGGTCTCAGCGTTGGTTCTCAGCTGACATATATGGAAGCAGTAACTTTTATTATAGGTCAAGATTCATTAAAGAAGCTGAGAAATGGCCTGAACTACTGCAAACTGTGTCTCATCTTTCCATTCCCTCAGTTTCTCTGTGACTGTAGTGCTACCTCATTTATTTTCTGCTCATTGTCAGTTGTGTCTTAATATAAAATAAAGTTTAAAAGATCTGGTATACGGCATAGTAACCCACCAAAATTCTGAGCCACAAAAAATCATAGTCATATTCTTTATATTCATTGAATCTGAAGACAGAAGAGATGTAAACTTAAAAAAAAATAAATAAAAAAGCCCACTGCATATTTATAGGGAACTTCAATTCCATTTTCACAGAATAAATGGTATTTTATGCTTCACACCATTTAGACCTCAATCTCTCTTCTGGCAAGCCAAGCTGTTATTTTTCATGGATTGTTCCTAAGTCATTTATAATCAGGCCGCAGCACCGCTGACAACAGCACCTTTGAAGTCAGATAGGGATTATTAATTTGCTTTGAATTTTCTGAGGAGCTTCATCTTCTTTCCATACACATCCATTAAAAGTTGTAGAGGCAAAAATGAAGGTCCCAGTCACAAACAAAATTAAGCTATCAAACTCTCTGGTTTCAGATTAATTCTGGGCAGTGTGGAAAGCCAACCAACCTTTACTTTTTAATGTGGAACGTGACATTTTAGGGTTCCTGAAATGCACCTTCCAGAGAGTGAGGTCTGAGAGCACCCAAAGGCTCAGAACTCTGGGCAGAGCCCCATAGCTCCATGCAGCCACCGCCACCTTGGGGGCGCATGGAAAGGGAAAATCATTACTTGTGGCACAATTTTTAGCTCTCCATCAAAGACCACAATTACCAGCCTGCGTGTGTCTGTCTGTCTGTGCGTGTGTCTTCCCTACAAGAAAAAACCGCGACTATCTATACAGGCTGGGTACTGTGAGGAATTTCTTCACAGAAAGGGTGACTAAACCTTGGAACATGCTGCCCAGAGAGGTACTGAAGTCACCGTCCCTGGAGGTGCTCAAGGAAAGACTGGACGCGGCCACGGTCCGGTTGACACGGTCGTATTCGGTCACAGCTTGGACTCGATGATCTCTGAGGTCTTTTCCGACCCAATTGATTCTGTAATTCCGGGATACCGATTCAAACTTTAAGACTGGGAACACCTTGGCGGGGAGGCTCGGTCAGGCCACGGCGGCCGCGCCCGCGTTCCTGACCACCGGCGAGTGCTGAGCCTCAACAGGCTCAGCACCGGCTGCGACCGCGGGGAGATCACCCTGCCCCGGGGAGGGGGCCGATAGCCACCCTGCGGGGCCCCTGATCCCCGGGCCAGCTGTGAACAGGGACACCGGGGCAATGGGCAGCGGGGCACGGGCGGGCGCGGCGGGT